AACTCACAGAGATTCACCTGCCTCTGCCTTCCAAGTGCTGGGATTAAAGGCACGCGCCACCATGCCCAGCAAAATATTTTGTTTTTATTTCATGTGTATGTGTTCTGCCTGCATGTATATAAGTGCACCATGCGCATGTGGGCAATGCCCCACAGAAGCCAGAAGATGGCATTGGAGTCCCTGGAACTGGAGTTATGGAAAGTTGTTAGCTGCCATGTGGGTGCTGGGAATTGAACCTGGGTCCTCTGGAAGAACAGCAGGTGTTCATAATCACTGAGCCATCTCTCCAGCCCCTGTAGTATGTTTTTAATTACTATATTCTCTTCCATACCTATGGCATTATTTAGTATCTATCTGATACCATATATTGATAGTTGTACTTTATCTCTTGCTTACAATTAACTCATACTTTTTTTTTTATGTGTATGAGTGTATTACCTGCATGTGTCAACAATGCCCATGGAGGTCAGAAGAAGGTGTTGGATCTCCTGAAATTGAAGTTACAAACAGTTGTTATCTGCCACGTGGGTGCTGGGGATCGAACCCAGGTCCTCTACAAGAGCAGCCAGTGCTCTTAACCACTGAGCCATCTCTCCAGTCCCCTTAACTCATACTTTTATCCTGAACAATTTCTTTTATATTTCCTTGACTTGAACCTTCTGCACATTTATTTTTATTTACTATTGTTTTGTTTCTAATTTTGTTGAGATTCCGTCTCCCGTATTTCAGTCTGGCCTGGAACTTAACATTTAACTGAGGATGACCTTGAATTTTTTCTTTTAAAAATGCTTTTATTTATTTATTTATTTATTTATTTATTTATTTATTTATATTTTATGTGTATGAGTGTATTGCCTGCATTTGTGCCTGCACCCATGTTGTGCAATGCCCATGGAGGTCAGAAGAGGGGGTTGGATCCCCTAGAACTGGAGTTATAGATAGTTGTTAGCCACCATGTGGGTGCTGGGATTCAAACGCAGGTCCTCTGCAAAAGCAACCAGTGCTCTTAACACTGAGCCATCCCTCCAGAGCACCCCACCCGTTTTTAAATCTAGCTTTTGCAGGTGCAATTTTACACTGAGCATGGCATGAGCTGTATCTCATCTATAGTGTCATTATTACTTCCTAAACAATCTGTAATCAGATTTTTATTTTTCTCTTTGGTCCAGAAATTATTGAAATGCTGGTTTGTTTATTTTCTTTTTGTCTTGTTATTATAAACTCCATTTTTTGTGTTTTGTTAATCTATTTCTAATTCTGTCTTCAGATTATTTCATTAAGCAGGAGTACATACCTCCTGTGTTCGTTGAAGTTTCTCATGACCTAGTATGTGAAATGTAGTGTAATATGCCATTAGATACTGAGAAAAAAATAAGCATTTTTGATTGCAGGATTTAAATTCTTGTAAGTCATCTTTATTATCAATATTAGATGTCCCATGTCTTCATTCACTTTAATCTTTTCCATCAGTGGAAGACTGAGAGTATGTCAAAGCCTGGCCCACTCAGCTTTTGACAATTTCTATTTTTAGGCTTTGTGGGCTTTTTAATGGTCTCTAAAATCTCATGCATAAATGTGCATAATTGTTTCATAGTTGCTTCAAATATTCATAACACTAAGAATATACAATTTCATTTCATTTATTTACCCTATTTGCCTTGAATTTACCTGTGTCTAGATGGCACCTCTACTGTGTCATCATTATTATCACCACTACTTTGAATTCGTTGAAATCACTTTTCCCATTTTTAAACTTCCCTTTCAGCCTCTCTTTGAGGTGCACTAGGCAGATATCCGTGTACCTGCATAAACTGTTATAACTA